ATTGGTATAATATAATAACTACATCGTAATTGATTTTCAAGTTGTAAAAATATATGCAATCTTTTTTTTTAGGCTCATTCACCTAAAAGAATGCTGGGAAGAAATCTGTGGAGAGTGTGATATTGACAAAAATAAAATCGTTGCCATTACAACTGATGGGGCACAAATATAGTGGCAGCAGTGAAATTGTTTTTAGGGAACGATCGCAGAATTTCATTTATGGCACATTGTTTAAATTTCATTGGGTATTGAAGTACGATCACTTAAAGAGCATCGTGACGTGTTTTAAACAGTCGGTAAATGCGGGGTATCAATTACGATCTGAACAGGAAGCGTATGGAATGCAAGAAGGAGAGATGTTGACATTAACACAAGCTGTTACCACTACTCTCATGGAATTCGTGCTTTGATATGTTAAAAATATTTATTAAAATCTCTGCACTAGTAGCTAAAATTTTAGCTACTAAAAGTCAAACAAGCAGAAATACACCCAACATGGTCGCAACTTCCCAATTAAATATAATAAGAGACATTATGGCTATTTTAGGCCCATTCAAAGAAGTCAAGAAAGAAATAAGTGGTGCTAATTACGTGACTTCCAGCTTAGTCATTCTGGTTATTTCATTCGCCAAACAGTGGAATGTATAGGTCCATCTACGAGTTTAGGGCTAAATGTTAAAGAAGCTCTTCTGAAAAAAGTTCAAGAAAGACTGGGACCTTTGGGTATGGGCATGAAATATTATTATCCCAGTCATCAACAACTATGCTCGAGATCTCAAACTCTGGCTCTGTGCCCAATGAGCTAAAACAATATCTTGATCAAACCTCCTTGAGAGAAAAGCTGATCCCATAAAATTTTGGATCAATTGCCAGCATTTCACGCCGGTTTTTTCAGAAGTCGCCCTTAAATACCTAATTTGCCAGGCTTCTTCGGTGTCGTCTTCCGAATGAGTTGCTTCAGCTGTAAATCTAACAGTAACCGACAACAGAAGCCGCTTGACAGGCGAGCACATCAAACAAAGAGTCCTACTAATTTCAATATCGGATGAATACTGGTTTGATAAAATTTCTTTCTAATAAAAAAATACAACTTTCGTCATGTGTGTATTTTTTTTTCGAATTCTAAGTTTTGAGAATATATGTAAATGAAGTTTTGGGAATATATGCAAAACATGTCGATATTTTTCAGTCGATAATTATCGATACGATAAATATCGATGTATTTTTTACTTGTCATCTCTATAGCGTGAACGAGACGGAAAGCGATTATGAATGATTTCGACGCGAGCACAATACCCTCCCTTGCTTGCACGTCTTTTTACTCCATAAAATGGCATTTTGCGCATTAACATGATAATAACTTGATTAAATTCTCACCATATTTGTCGGCATCATGAAGTGTATCACAGCTCTGGTACTTTGCGGAAAAGTTGGGGCAGAGCAGATCAGGCAGGTGGTTATCAATGTTCGCACGTTCCAAGAACCAAACTAGGTTCCAGTACACTATCGGATGAGACTCTACAAATTCCGGTTCCGCTAGACACGAATCCCCTTCTCTACCTGTGTATAAATATTTTATTATTAAATATCTTTTATATGCAGTAAAGACAATCTATTTCCACATCTTCTGCTATTGGAATTTTAACAGTAAGATTCCTGTAGCTTCCAAAATGGCCAAGTAATTATATTGTATGTGTAAGCCAGACATATAAGTAACAACTGCTGTCTTGTTGAACAGGTGTATTTGTCAAAGATGGACCTGGGTACCAGCTAAGTTAGCTGAGCCGAAAGACCTCTTTTGCAATGGACTTAGTTTGGAGGCCATAACTCTGTCACTAAAATTCCGAAGACAGGTAATGAAAAGGAGTTTACTGAGTTTAGTCACGTACTAATTATAATGTTCAAGACAAAGAAAATATTATTATCAAACAAATTAAAAGAAACAAGTATTCCATTCTCTCTATATCTTACGCAAGCTATTATACACTATGGTTGACTAAGCTGAAACTTACCCAAAATCGACTCAAATTCCTTTCTTAAAACCAATGGATTTAAATACGGCACACTAATTGTCTCTGGTTGTGTCTGGCCCTCACGTATTATCTGTACACAAAATTTTGAGTCATTTTAGGTTTATTTTACAATTTTTTATAGCTAAAACAGTTTTTAACTTCCCACAGTTGGTTAAAAGCCTCCCTCTCTTTTTTTAAAAGGATTGTGGAAAAAAAATTTCACTAAGAGGTAAAGACCATGTGATGTCAGCACATAAAACTTGCTGTTCGCATACTGTAAAATTTACGGCGCACGTCTCTAAGCCACCACATTTATGTCACTTGCAATATTTTAGATGTGCTATCAAAACGGAATATATTCTATTAAAATTGTAAGGCAATACAAATGAATGACATCACAATTATTTGTAGCCAAATTAACATTTTATTTGTATGTTTTTGAATGATAAAATCTAATTTAAATCAAAACGAAAAACGACGAAGTTTTGAGACACTGAAGTAGCGAATTCAAATTATATAATGTAGTAAATAATGATAGGGTTAACTTTAAGAAATAATAGTAGTTAATTAAGAAATAATAGTAGTAACTAGTTTTTTGTATTTTCCCCATGGCAATCAGACATTTTCCCGCTCAAGTATTCTGTATGTATGTTTGGGTACTGAGTTATCACCACACCAAATTTAGTTAAAACCTGTTCAGTAGTTTTTGCGTAATGCTTGTACAGACAGACATACAGAAAAGAATTCCAATAAATTGGATTTTTACTTACAAAACATTTTTTTATAGAGGAGGGGGCAAACGAGTATGCGGCTCACCTGATGGTAAGTGACTACCGCCGCCCATGAACAACTGCAACACCAGGGAGGGAATTGCAGATGCGTATAACATACTCCAAATACAGACACGGTCTCATTACAGTTTTATTATTTGTATAGAATTGCGCGATAGTGAGTGCATAACGATTGATATATTATACACAACATACTTTTATAGCTCTATAAGATGGAGTGGCTACCTGGTAATACAAGTGACTTAAGACCATGGTCTTCAACGCAAAACTAGGCACAAGAGAGAACGACGAACTGAGGGTGAACTTGTGAAGGGCTGTAATGATGATAGTGATGATGAATACCATGGTCCATGGCTTTCGTTGGGAGAGGTCCAGCATTGAACATGTGAAGGGCTATAATCATGACGATGAGTCCACAAATATTTCTATGTATACTACAATATCTGTAGTTCAGAACTAAAACTGTGTGACAGCTGTGGACGCGTGGACGCCAGTTAGGCGGGTAGCTGGCACGGTAAATATGGCAAGCAGTTGTATTTTCATTTACGACAGATACGATTTTAGCCAAATACGAAATAAAGTTATGTATTTATCTGTAATAAACTTCTAATGACGTTGACAAAGCGCGCTCTTAAATAATGACCGTGTTTACTCAGTCACACTAAACAAAATCTGTGTTAGATTGTTCGAAACAATGGTCGCGGTTTATAAAATAAAGAATTTGTCTTCTCTTTCAGACTGCAGAAGTTACGGAGAATTGAGCGTAACTTAGTGCGTAATGTTAGTACCCGTTCGGTAGTATACATAGAAGTGTTTGTGAGTCCATAAGGCTACAGAGAAGGCGAGGGTGCGAGGGTGCGACGGGGCGAGGGGGCGAGGGTACGACCGTGCAGGTGAGCAGCGGCACGGTGTGGCGGCCGCAGGCGGTGCAGCGCGTGTTGAGGTTGGAGTCGTCGGCCGCCCAGCCCGCCATGATGTCCTCGTCGTACAGCGCGCACTGGCACTGGTGGCACTGCGAGCACGACGTCACCACCGCCTCCACCGCCGCACGCGCGCCGCGCTCGCTCTCCTGCAACGTGCGCGCACTCTACACACTCCACACTCCACACTACACACTCACTATACCCAACCAAATTTAACAAAAATACCTTTTGACAGCTGTCAGACTTATTGGACTAGGCATGCCAACCAAAAAATCGGTACGTGCCGTATTCGATTCTTAAAAAAAATCGATATCGATTCTTTAGAGTTAGTAATCATTTACAGTTTTATTTCGATTAATACCAGAATAAATTAAAAACGGATATTTTAAATTTTAAAACTTTATCGGTTTGTTCGTATTTATTGTTACTGCTTATTTCTAGAGGCAAAGTTATATAAATTTAAGATTGAAACTATATTAAAAATAAATTTATTTAATCACTTTCAATACAACTAGTTGAGAGGACGTTGTTTAGATTAATTATTATTTGATTTTCTATAATGCAGTCAAAATGAATGTCTACTTCAAAGTGATCCTTAATAATTTTCTTTGTTTTCTCCACCACTTTTGCTCAATTATCCTGTGTGACCAGTAATTTAATAACATGAAAATTTTGTATCTTTGATTAAGTGAATGTGAGTAGGCCAGAAACTTTTAGACCTTACCTAATATGTCCCACTGCTGGGCACAGGCGTCCTTTCTTTTCTGAAAGGGTTTTAAGGCAAGAAAGTGTGACTTCACATGTCTTCGAAATATTTTTTATTTATCAGACAAGCAGATTTTCTCACGATGTTTTACTTCACCGCCGAGAACGTGGTAAATGTAAGGACGCGTGGACACCTCGCTTATGTATAGGACATATGTTATGATACATCGCACAACGCGGCGTCCACTGTTGGTTTCTCTCGGTTCTCATCGGTCAGCTAGGCTTATGCGTCATTAAAGGCGCCGAGTGTTGAGTTATTTTAATTTTTCATTATCTCTTAAACTAAGAGTCCAAATAACATGCTACAAGAAGCAAAATTTATTTCCATAAAATTGTCTTGATGATCTAATAACTTTCGTTTGTTGGATTTCTTTCTTTCGAAGAATTAATATACCATGCCTAATAATAACGCTCCTAAATCACTTTTTAATTTTCAATAATTTTTTGTCATAAAATACCTTATTCTGGCTTATGTATAAGAGATAGGCATATGCTGCCGCATTTTTTTTATAGATGAAGTAAAAGTCTACGTTTGTAGAACATTGTATTAACATATCACTAACCATTACGCCAGTGCACGGATGTAACAGTTCTGGGGCGTTTTTCCTTTTGACTTGCTTAACAAAACTCAATATTTAAGGTTAGCCGTGAGGTGTAGCACTTATACTATTCCTCATGAATCTGGCTATAATATACAAAAATAATTTATCTAATCGGACTGGTAGTTCGAGACATTAGCGTGTTTAAACAAACAAAAAAAAACATCTTCCACTTTAATATATTAGAATAGATAAATACTTAATTATTTAATCATTAAAACTGATTCCCTAGGAAAGTTGTTCCCTAGAGAGGTTATACCCGAATCCACATCCATTTTTAATGTATTTGGTCGTCAACTACGAAGATATTTTTTTTATAATACTGGCTAGTTTGAAGTCGAAATTAAAATTTATGTTGAATTTTTTACGATGCGCGCGCACACCGACACCTAAAAACGACAGCATGAAGTTGTTAAGATGCCCGCGCACACAGAAACCTAAAAGCGACAACTTCAGTTGGTAATTGCCTGTCAACTGTCAAGTTTTCGTGAGAGCTGATAACTATATTCAAGGTAGTTATTAAAATATATATGAATCTATAAACCGTGTTTAATTTTAGTTATTTTTGTTCTGTTACGCTAAAGAAATATAGCTTCTTTCGTGCGTACATAAGTACACACACACACGTTTTTTTTAGTGGTCATTTAATAAAAGTGTCCTGTTAGTAAGCAAAAGCATATTTTTTCCCTAAAGTTTAAAGTTTTACTAATAAAGTGCTTTACCGCGTGTTGTGGGTAGAGGTTGTCGGGCAGCTGCGACAATAACGTGGCGAGCGAGCCGCGCTCCATACTGCAGGCCAGCTCCGCTTCACTTGACGCGCGTCTGAATGTACCGCCCATAGACCACTCTGCACACACACACACACACCTAGTCAGAAATGGATTCTCAGAAGATATTTTTTACGATGTAGAGCCACGCTGCAGCTAATTATGGTCGGCTCGACTGAGGAAGGTCCACGGTCTTACAGAATAACAGCTTAAAATAGCAGCCTAAAGCTGCTGTGTTGCGTATGATGAGTGTAAAGAACCGGAGAGGCATTCCATCGTAATCCTCAGGAGACCCTTTTCTAGTAAAAGAGGGTTGTATGTTAGTTTTCGGATATGATAACTGATAACACATCTAAATTATATTCTTAATGGAAAATAGATGTAGGTGTCGGTGGGCCGTAGAATCCATTTACCATTAGATGTAACTGCTCATTTGTCACACTTATTATTTAAAAACTCTTCCCTAATCCAAAAACTCTTTTAGAACTGAGAGAAGGCCTGTGCCTGGTGTTTGAATGTATGTATTGTTGCAACTTTTTTTTATCACAACAATATGTCTTACAACATACATATAAATTACTCGTATCATTATTATCATCATTACAGCCCTTCACAAGTTCACTGCTAAACATAGGCCTCCCCCAAGGAATGCCACAAAGCACGGTCCTGAGCCACCGGCATCCATCGACTTCCTGCATGTCTTACTAAATCGTCACTCCATCTAGTGGGGGGTCGCCCTACACTTCGCCTGCCCGTAACAAATACATTATGACACAAAAAATTCTATAAAAATTTTTAATCAATGCAAATACTAACCATCGGGATTAACTTCTGACGACGCGTCATTAGAGTCCTCCTCTGTGATGAAGCTGGTTAATGCACTGGTCGCATTTCCGAACGCTCCCTTCACTGGCGTCGAGTTGGCCGAGATTACTTCCTTCATCTCGTCAAACTTCTTGGCCATGCTAGTAGCGGCCGACTTTAGACTACTAAGGCCGCTTTGAAGCAGCTCGTTAGACTTCTTGCCGGCTATACTCGTTGGGCTGCAAGTAATTATAACCTTTTAGAAAATGTTGTGTAAAGCTTTTTAACGTGATTCAAAATAAATCAGTTAGAAATCGTAAACCACGCAAGTTGTAATGACTTATTGACTTTATAAGCTACACTGTTACCAATGGAACGCGCTCAAAGACCTATAGTGAAAGTCGCAACATTCCGCCCTATCCTATTCCAGTCCCATCTCTTATATAAATCCTACAATGTCCTATCAGTGCGCCGGTTATTCGTTATGAGTACGATACTAATACATTACTTTATACAGCACTTAAAATTTCCCTACAGAAAAGAGTCCACTGATAAAAGACGCAAATATAAAATTATTGAAACTAACATTAGAACAAGGCATTCTTTCATGCCTAGATTTTTTACATTCCTTGGCCCTTTTTTGTAAAAGCAAGTCAACGCAATTTTGAACATGTATCCATTAAAATGGCAGATTTTAAAAATGTAATTCGAACATAGTTAAGGAATGGTAAAGAAATATTGCTGATTGTTTTAAGTTAATTAAAATCATAAGTAAATTAATGATAATAAATTTTACCGAATTAACCTTAATTAGATGGTATGTTATTCATTTTATATAAGACACAGAAAATATTTGTAGATGTATCTATTAGCACATACACCTGAGATACAGGTTTATCCCAGTTCAGGTGCCTGTTATTATAGACTATTTTAAATTAAGCCATTGTTTCAATTAATTGTACAGTTTATTGACATAAAATTACAAGCATTATTTTGAATAAATTAAGTAATAAAATCAATTAAAGAAAAAAACATTACTTTTAATAAAATTGAGGTAATTACAAACAAACGTTTACAGTCCACTTGATGGTAATAGCAGTCCATGGACATCTACAACTGACATCAAACGGAGAAGGCTGTAGATACGTCATCATTTTTAAGGACCAAGATGGAATGCCTGTTATTCTGTTATTATACTATCTCTACTACCTTTAAGACCGAAACACCGAGTGCGCACTGCTGCTTACTGCTTGGTGGCCGGAGTAGGTAAGAAGAACTGTTATATTACGACTAAGTAAGAAGAACCTAAACAGGCAGACTCCTTAGTCCTACCGTCAAGTCCTACTATATTATATACTAGAATAGATATTTACTTTCTAAAATATGATGAAAAATATGCCAAAACATTCTATTCCTGTTTCATGATACATGCATAATGACGAGATGCAAGGTTGTACGCCAGGCCACGCAGAAAGTTATGCGAAAGAGAGATATTTTTTTGTAAAAGGAAAACAACAAAAACACGTTTATTTAGAAGTAAAAATACGAAATTAATGTTCTAATAAGCGACGAAATTACGTATTACGTATAGTGATTCAGCAAATATTGCAAATTGGATCGGGAAGCGTTCACGAGATGTTACACGAACATTTTCGCGTGACTACTCACGCGAAGATTTTCGCACAACCTCAATGATCATCATCATCATCATTACAGCCCTTCACAAGTCCACTGCTGAACATAGGCCTCTCCCAAGGAATGCCACAAATCACGGTCCCGAGCCACCTGAATCCATTGACTTCCTGCATGTCTTACCAGGTCGGGATCTAGTGGGGGTCGCCCTACACTTCGCCTGCCAGTACGAGGCTGCCACTCGAGAACCTTTCTTCCCCATCGGTTGTTGATTCTTCGAGTTATATGGTCGGCCCATTGCTACATCAGCATACTGATTCTTTGGGCTGTCAGTTACTCTGGTTCTACTGCGGAAATCCTCATTTTTAAGTCTGTCACGGAGAGAAACGCCGAGAATAGCCCTCTCCATAGCTCGCTGAGCGACTTTGAGCTTCTTCATACGGCCACCAGTGCAGGACCACATCTCAGATCCTGGTCATCATGATAGGTCATCACTGGCAACACACACTGGTTGTACAATCTAGTTTTCAGGTTTTAAAGTTTGTCTGACTAGAAGATGTGTCATAATATCCCGAACGCTGCCCATCCGAGTTGAATCCGTCAATTGACCTCTCGATCAAAGTTGGACTTACCTAGTCGGACTATTTGTCCCAGGTAAACATATTCGTCAACAACTTCGAGTTTAGTGCTCCCAACAACTACCGGCATAGGTGTGACATGGACGTTAAATATGATTTTTGGTTTGTCCATGGTCATCTTAAGACCTATTCGTTGGGAGACACTATTGAGGTCATTGAGCATGGTGCTTAGGTCCTACAGCGATTCTGCCATAAGGACTATGTCGTCGGCAAATCGAAGGTGAGTGATGTACTCGCCATTGACGTTAATACCGTATCCTTTCCAGTCCAGTCGTTTAAAAACGTCTTCCAATGCAGCGGTGAAGTTTCGGGGATATTACGTCACCCTGTCTTACACCTCTCTACAGTTGTACGAACTCATGTTCGTACTCATGTTCGTACTCTAATTCTGTACTCGGATAGCCATCGTAGCCCTACTGTACAAACACCTCAGCACTTCGATATACCGACAGTCCACTTGGCACCGCTGAAGGGAATGCAGCACTGCCCAAATTTCGACGGAATCAAAGGCTTTCTCATAGTCCACGTACGCAAGACCAAGTGGCAGATTGTATTCTTCTTTCTTCTGTACAATTTGCCGAAAGGTATCTCAAGCCTTTTCGGAAACCGGCTTGTTCGGAAGGCTGGAAGTCGTCGAGTCTCCGTGCGAGACGATTCGTAATGAATCTCAAAAACAGCACATAGACGTGGCTCAGAAGGGAAATCTGTCTATAGTTCTTCATGAGAGCGTTGTCGCCTTACTTGAAGAACAAGACCACCGCACTTCTGATCCACGCCTCCGGTGTAATGCCACCATGGAGGACGGAATTAAAGAGCTTCTGAAGGACTTCAAGTACCGGTCTTCCACCCGCTTTCAGAAGCTCCGTTGTAATTCCATACTCGCCCGTGGACTTGCCGTTTTTAAGGTGTTGGAGAGCTATTCTAATCTCGCTCAGACTGACATCCGGGATATCATCGGAATAGTGTCTGTCGGATAAGACTTGCTCTTGGATCCGTTACTCACACTTGCGTGTGGCTCCAACGATGACGTGTACAGCTGCCCATAGAACCTCTCAATCTCACTCAAAATCTTAGGTGTCCCGGAAACGATGTTGTCACATTCGGTCTTCAGCTTCGACTGTTGTCACTTTCTGGCAGACTGATCTCCGACAAAGACTTTGGAGCCCTGGTTCCTCAATAGGAGCAATACGACTTAGTTGCCATAGTTGTCACGCCGCAGCCACTTTGAGATCTGTTTGTTCAATTGCCTGTATGCTATCAAATCTATTGGAGACTGCAGCTTCATTTCCCGTCTAACTGCCATGAAATTGAGAGTGTGATCGGACAGTTTTTGTGTTCTTCTGCGGCGGGTCTTGCAATACTTAGCTCAGACGTTTCCACGAGCTTGTCATTCGTATCGTCCACTGCATTGCAATCTTCTAGCCACTGAAAATGGTTTTGTAATTCGAGCTGAAAGGTTTCGGGACTTTGGACTAGAGCACGAGGGGTACGGAGCGTTGACTTTATTAGACGAGATCTCTCTCACTTAACGCTTATGTTCAGTGTGCCTCTAACCATTCGGTGATCGCTACCAGTTTTCACCCTTGCGATCACTGAGACATCATTGAACAGTTGCCGTCTAGTAGTCGTAATGAAGTCAATGCCATTTTTTGTCGAACCGTCGGGGTTCGACCAGGTCCACTTCCTGTGGGGCCGCTTTTAGAAGAAATAGTTTATCATATAGTCCCTCTTTCTCCATGAAGTCGGCCAGCTCCTGGCCCCTTGGGTTCCGTTGCCCTTATCCGAATTTCCCTACTTTGAGCTCGCCGTTCTCTCCTGTGCCTAGTTTTGGGTTGTAGTCTCCCATTAACACCGTATAGTGGGTTTTGGAGGAATACATGGCTCTAGAGATATACTCATACATTTCCTCCACCTCTTCATCGAGATGTGCCGAAGTTGGTGCGTAAACAAGTATGACCTTCAGGTTTGGTGATTCTGAGTATAAGGTACGCAACCCTCGTCAACACACTCCCAATCTTTACAACGTTGTGAACGAGAGACTTGTGGGCGATAAATTCGACACCTCCTTGGGGCAGATGGTCGTCCTCCCAGTGATAGTCGTAGGTGGCAACCGAACCTCAACCGGAGATTCGCCGCTACCATAACGCATTCGCATAACAAAAAGTTTAAGCAGCAATATTTTCTCGTAAAATCGATCCTTTAATAGACGTTTTTACAGATATATTATTATTATTACGATATTACAATTGGTTATTTAAATGGATTCATAATTCAAAAATAATTATTACACTCTTTTGACTAGAGACAAACCTTTTTAAAAAGTAAAAATTTCGTTTCGAAGATGGCAATAATGATCTTACCTGAAGTAGCTCTCGATCATAGCTTTTCCCAATTTTATGTTTTCCTTGCGCAACGACATCCTGGCGGGCGAATAGCGTCTAAGAAAACAAACAGGCTAGCACTGCACTGCCATCAAATGTGATGCGGTTAAATATATTGTGTGCGATGCAAACAGACGGATCTAATGTATAACACTGGACTCTGAATCTTAAGGCCGGAGCATGCAGAGTGCGCATTGGGGATTGGGGCGCGAGCTATATGAAACTATAGAGGATCATCATCATCATCAAATCGATAAGAGTTTAGAGTATAAATAGCGGCGCGATTCGTGAGCTCCAAGTGACAGTATTTGCGCATGTACATTTTCCAGTCAACATAAAAAGTTAAAGTTACAGCCTATATACGTCCCACAGCTGGGCACAGGTCTCCTCTCATTTCTGAGAGGGTTTTAGGGCCAGCCAATATACTGCAGGCGAATGACACGTGAATATACAATAGTTAGTTGTCGTAATTAATAAAGTAATTTTAGTTGACGACGATTAACTAATGGATCGATCGATTCACCGTACCCACCCCGCGCCCTTGTACTTCACCAAAGAGACCTACAAATCAACTGTTGCGCATGTCAAGGCAGTGCTCACGACTCGTGCCGGTAAGTATACAGCACGCATCACACATCATCAGCATTTAAACGACAACTCTGTGTGCATGCCTCTAATACGTGCAGCTGAAAGTAACGTCGCACCGCAATATACAGGGTTATTAGTCAAAAACGATTACGAGTTATTAGACGGCTCCGTGGCGCAGTGGCTTAGCAATGAGTTGCTGCGCTGGGGGGCGCGGGTTCGAATCCCGCACGGAACAAGTATTTGTATGGCCTACAAATGATTGTTCCGGGTCTGGATGTTTGTCCTTGTGAAATTTGTGTTTGTAAACTGCCTCCACGATACAGGAGAAAATCCTAGTGTGGGGGTAACGGTTTTTAAAAAAAAAAAATAAAAAAAAAAAAAGTAGCCAAATTTTAAACATAAGTTCAAATATATAAATAATGATATACCGGTAATAGAGTTTTTGAAAATACGAGTAAATAAGGCTTCTACTTTTATTTGAAATTATCCCAAATATTTGGCCGGTTATTGCGTAATAACCCTGTATATGATATATAACACGCAATTTGATTGCTCCGGCCGTTAGTCACGCAGACATTTATCTCGTATAAATTTTGATATTTTATATTAAATCCATCTGTTTTAAGTTATCTAAGCTAAAATTAATAAAAATAACATGCTTTTAAAATGAACATGGTTGTGACAATGTAAAACATTAATAGCGGTGGATGAAAATAATAAGGTAAAACATTTTTGTAATATGCTTTTTAGTCTTAAATGTGAGCATGCTACAGGTAAAACTATTTTTGATTTAGTGGGCTTACAACTAATTTCACACGTTGAATAAATAAAAAAATAAGATATAAAATTAAGTTTGCTTTATGTGTTTGAAGTAACTTTAGAGGCGACTTCAGGGTAACTCACATGTTTTCTCGCATGGAAGTAACATTCAGTAAAAGCTA